TGTGGTTAATTTACTGAGTGACTGAATCAAGTTACAAGTTCGCAAGGTCTTGATAATGCTATGATTATTGATGGGTTTTTTTAGGTGTAGAAAATACAGGCAAGTCAGCAGGTCTTGAGTTTCACAAAAATAGTTCCAGATGAGCAAATGATCTCTATAGATCTGCGCCCATTTGCACAAAGCAATGTTAGCACTATGACTATTGTAAGTCTATGTTAAGTCAGGGAGTTATGATGGTCTTAGCGCTAAGGTTGCTTTGTGTAAGTAAGCCCTGATATATCCTTGTTCCACAGTGGGATCTTAGGTTAAGACTATTGTGAGTCTATGCAAGAGTTATGATAGTTGTTGCAGTACGATCATTTGTATGGAAGAAGAAGAGGACTTTACCACTGTTGAATAAGTTAGATATAGATATATGTGTCTCCTTTGAAACGGGTGACAGGTTAGGAATGTATTCAAGTTATATATCAATGTTCATTGAAAGTTGGTTAGAAAAAATCACAACTCTTCAACCCTGTGTAAGCCCCCTAATTCTAGGTACAAAAAGTTGAATTATACACAGCAATATATGGTTACGGTTTACCTTTAGGATTTGTTTGTTTGTTGTTTAACGCTTCATTCAGCAATATTACTTTTCATAATCTGTTATATCAGCTTCAAGGTCAGATGGCAATGGTTAAAGTGTTCACTTGTCACACCGAAGCTCTGGGTCACAATACATTCCCCACATGGGTAAAATGTGTGAAGCCCATTTCCGATGTCCCCTGCCATGATATTGTGGGAATATTGATAAAATCGCCGTAAACCCCAACTCACACACTACACTCACCCTAGGTCAGTTAAATGAATCTATTTTACAGATGAGCCTTATGCCTTAAATCTAAGTTTTTCTTCTTTTTTTTGGTTATAATAGTAATACTTTGAGGAAAATAACACGATTACTCTGTGTTGCAAAATATTATCATGAATTCATATGAATATATGAATGGCTGAGGTCAACCCAAATCCATTTTGGCCTTATCTTGGACATTGGCCAAGAAAATCCCTAGATCAAGAAGTCTATCTTTCAGAGCTAGTGCATTTATAATATTACATATTCTTTTGTTGATATTCAATCTAAAATTTTATCTCAAAACTTGATTAAAAGGTCAGGGGTGAGATTGTCTCAGGATGAATAGTGTTCATTTTGTATGTCAAACATTACGAATGCTTGGTCTAATTAGATTTTCATGAGTATTGATTTTCCTGTCTGAAGAGAGACAGTTTAGTTAAAGACCCAACAGTTATGTGCTCCGTATACAGCTGACTGTGAGGTTTATGACCGTTTATTCCCTAGAGGGTATAATGTAGTGTTATCTAACGCTGTGTAATATTACACACCTGACTGGTAACTAATACACTGTAGAATAAGTCTCACGACTCTTATCTCCGACTTCAGTCATAAAGAAAGACGTTTTGTTAATTCCCAGCTTACTAAAACATATTACTTACAGGTCAAAGGCAAATCCAGGTTGGACTGTATCTTATTTATAAGCTATTATCTTATTGGTTGTGTGATCAGTGTGTGTTTGTAACCAAGGTAATAAAAGCTTGCAGAATATACTACAAAGGTATATGTTCTCATATGAAATGATGAACTGTTTCTTCAGTCGGTAAGTCTTTTCCAGAATTTAGATGTACAAAGTTCTGATTCAAGATCTCTGTTGTTAAGTTGACAACATGGTACTAAACTTAGTGTCTGAAATAAATTTTATTCCCAACAACCTTTTTGAGCTGGTGACTAGTGAATGTAACCTCCCATCTTGAAAGTTTTGCTTCAACTGAAACGTCATATTCGTATTCGTGATCAGGCTTTTTCTTTTCTCTCTTCTATTCTTCTTGCTCTTACTTTAAAATAGGGTAGCCTAGTGGTTAAAGCGTCCGCTCATCACGCCGAAGACCCGGGTTCGATCCCCGACATTGGTACAATGTGCGAAGCCTATTTCTGGCGTCCCCTGCTGTGATATTCCTGGAGTATTGCTAAAAGCGGCGTAAAACCATACTCAGTCAGTCAGTCAGACTTACTTTAAAATCATCATGTTTGGTCTGCTTTTCGTGATGTACCAATCAGATGCAAGCATTAATAGCTCTTAAAGTTCTGAAAGTTCACAGCAGGTAATATATATTACCATATTACCAGGCAATGTTTACATGACTCAGGGGGACGTCAGGTAGCCTAGTTGTTAAAGCGTTAGCTCAGCACGCCGAAGACCTGTGTTCGATTCCCCATATGGTTCCAATATGTGAAGCCCATTTCTGGTGTCCTCCACTGTGATATTGCTGGAATATTGCTAAAAGCAGCGTAAAACCAAACCCACTCACATACTTACAGTTATGATTTACAATAAGCTAAAAAGATTTTTTAATACAGTATCTTCACTGACTATCAAAATGAAAAGAATAATTAGGGCTAGATAATAGGGTTTTCTTGTAGACAGTCGGGCAGGTAGGAATAAATTTCACATATCCCGACAAAATTTTACAAGCCACAGGATTATGGGAAGACAGCTATTTTGGTCACTTACTCCACTGGTTACAGATTGTCATTGTCAGTGCACCAGCATCGACACAAAGTAATCTAAAATCTAAATTGATCATTTTATCTTTGGAATTGTCTATAAAATGACTAGATGGAGGGCGAGATTATCGTTACGATAGCAGCCAGTGCTTGTTGTTAGAGGGACTCTACAAATCAGGTGGCCAGACTTGGTGACTTGGTTGATTGTGTGTAATCATATGTCACTGGAGTGAGACATTGCTCACATCATGGAACACTGGAGTGTCTGGTCCAGACTTGATTCTTTACAGGCTGCCCTCATATAGATCACTAAAAAGAAAGTTGATTCCGTCGTGTCCATAGTTCATCTCAAGATAGCTTGTTGCTTTTGTTTAAAGTTTCGTGAAAGCAGGAAGTAGGTTCAGAGTGAGTGAGTGAGTGAATGAGTAAAAGTTTATCGTTAGACCAGTTGTTAGTCCAAGTGTGGTCAAAGTCATTCACCACTTTGTTAGTGAACTCAAATTACATGATGAGATCAATCTAGCTAATAATGACTACACTAATTGCCCAGATTGAAAGTTTGAAACAACACCAGGGATTTATATCGACCTGCTCAAGTATCAGTAAAAGTTCCCAAATTAAGAATGAAAAAGTTCCAATTTCATGTTGATACATATACTGTACAGTTGTAACTAATGTGTAATTCACCGACAACAGGACCAATAATGAAGAAAACGCTTTAATGTTTAGTTTTACATTTTTGCATCGAATGTAATGTTAATGTGCAAGGTGAATCTACATCCGAATATGAGAACATGAGAACTTATGAAAATCCCAATTTTGAACAAAATCACAATTGTTTCCTATTTTCTTGCCAAGGGCATTTATTTTAACTTTCTTTTTTAATGTATTGCTGAGGGCACTTAGTGTGGAATCCTATCTACAAACCCTCAGTTTCACATGAGGCAATAATCACAATACTGAGATCTGAACTATCACTAGGCATCAGAATGGAGCCTCTTTAGGATGTTCCGAAGCATGGTTATAGAAAATTTCTTCCCATAAGTTTACAATGTGATACTTATCATCACATAATTTATCATCACATGTCTAGTTTTCAAGGGACCCATGAAGATCCGGGGTAGAAGAGGTCTTTGGAAACACATACTTGCCGTAGAAGGAGACTATGCTTATCATAAGAGGTGAAAAATGGGATCGGGTGGTCAGACTTGCTGACTTGGTTGATGCATGTCATCACATCCCAATTGTGTGGATCGATGCTCATGATGTCAATCACTGGATTGTCTGGTCCAGACTCGATTATTTACAGACCGCTGTCATATATAGCTAGAATATTGCTGAGTGTGGCAAGCAAAAGTTTTCAATGTTTAAGCATTATGATTATTTCTCTTGTCAGCAGTGTTGTGTTTAGAAGGAAAGAAGACAAATATTTCTTATTATTATGAAATATTAAATAATAATAACAAAGTACATTACTTACAAAGTAAGACTACTGTTATTGTGGTCCACACATGATATATGACCATAGTGTTCTTTCACTGTGATGGATCCTGTTTGTATGCGGATCTGTCCCTGTACAGGAAACAGCCAACAACAGCTGTGGGATGTGGCATTTGCCTCAAGCGCTCTTTGACATTTGGTTACTTAAATTACTGTTTCATATTGCAAAACAAATATTGGGAATGACTTGTAACAGTATCACTGTCTCAGTGAATACCATAAATCTAAACATTCTGGTACTCTACACCAATAACAAAGTTAATGGTGAAATGCGAGTAAGAAAATCATACAAATATTTATCTATTTCTTTTGATATTACAACAAACAAACATAGCTTTCTTTAATGCTCAATATTAAGAAAGTCATAAAAATAATAATCTATTTGTGTTGATATAAACAAACATAATTTTCTTTAATGCTCAATATTAAGAAAATCATAAAAATAATTATCTATTTGTTTATATAATTTTCTTTAATGCTCAATATTAAGAAAATCATAAAAATAATTATCTATTTGTGTTGATATAACAACAAACAAACATACATTTTTTTAATGCTCAATATTAAGAAAATAATAAAAACAATTATCTATTTGTTTTTGGTATAACACCAAACAAACATGGCTTTCTTTAATGCTCAAAGAAAATCATAAATATTATTGTCTATTTGTGTTCATGTACAGAGTACTATGAACTGTAAGCCAAGCTGTGTGAGATGTGATCAGCTTTTGTAAATATGGGAACAGCATCAATTGTACTTGGTCTGCATAGTAATTAGAGAGCTTGGCCTATTGTAAGTGACATCAAGTTACCTCATGTGCATGGTAGAGAAGGGGCCTAACCTGGGGATATATGGACATTTATGCACTGTATTATCTACCTGTTATCAGCAAGATAGGCAGCTTATCAACCAGGCTTTAAGTGTCCATTTGCTGTCCTTTCAGAGCTGTGTCAACGTGGAATATCTTACATGCAATGGGACAGTGATTGACATATTTCGTGAACCTTTTTGGACTGTGAATAATTTTGGACATGATGTGGACTTTGACATTTCCCACCTGTTGATGGGCACAGACTGTTTGATTATCTGTGATCAAGGAGTGTATGGGACAGACTGTCCGAGTATTCTTTTGTTTCTGATGCAAATAGCTGCTTGATACTGACCTCGGAATATTAAATAATTAGATTCTGGTCTCTGTGTCTGTGTGCATGGGCTTGTATTGTGTATGTCAGCTTTGACAGGTCAGAAAAGTCTTGCCTGTCAAATGTGAATGTAGACTGTAGACAAGGAGGTCATTTGGAACAGAGATCAGAGTTTGGTCGAGATTACTCCTCCTACTTATTTTTAGAAAACTTAGATTACAGCATTGTGTTGTTACGATTTGATAAACGTAAACATTCATGAACTTTTTGAAAGTAAACAATTCTTCCAACACTTGAACTCTATGAATATATACCACAGATACCATTCCTGATAATTGTGTGTAAGTGCTTAGCTGTGACCTGTCCTGGACGATTTTATTTCTTTGTTGTTGATGGTCGTGTGATGCCTGTGCTAAGTGTATCGTGACTTAGATACTGTATTTATCAGTGATACATAGATGTGACTCACAGAGGAGAAGACAAAGTTCAATTATCCAGTATTTTGCCAAGGGATACCTGCTTGGCGAATGACGAGATCACAAGACATTATTACATTGGAAAAAACCAATTGATTGTACTATTGTTTATCCTGTGGTGAAAGAATTTCAAGATGGATGCTATCAAAGTTGCACGGGATTACTTTGTCAGTAGTCAGAGTAGTTTGCTTATTGAAAACAGGGAATTCGGACACAGGAAGTTCATCCATCTTGGAAACCAGAAGCCGAAGCAGTCGAGTGGTGCCAGGCTGTCCTCACCGACTACGGAGAAAAGTTCTCCCTTAAAAGAAAAGGAGTTCCCTATATTGACACCACAGACTAAGGGCATGAGGTCAGGTAGGTGGCGCTAGTTTAGTGTCAGACGAGTGAAGAGACATGGGCAGCAGAAGGAATGGTAGGCTTATTTTCACTGTTTTTCCTGCTGAATGTGTGCCCAGTTGTCTGAGGCATTGCTGTATGGGGTACACAGTTGCATCCCTTAGGCGTGCCAGGAAGCTATGATCATGTTTTCGAATCCTGGTTCTCCTTGATCGTGTTTTCGAATCCTGGTTCTCCTTGATCATGTTTCTAGGTTTGCCAGTGCCTTCCCTGTAGTTGGGGTTTCACCAAAGTGGTAAAGGTCTTAGACCTGCATCACTTCAGGCTTTCCCCCATCATCAAGCTGACATGCCATGATATAACTGAATTACTGTTCAAGCACTATTAAGCCCTTCTCACTCACTCCTTTTTCACATATCGCCAGCATACAATGCTTTTCATATGAGGCAACAAATCAGGATCAGGACCCACTTGCACAAAGTGATCTCAGCGCTAAGACTATTGTAAGTCCATGTTAAAGTATGGGAGTTACGATCATCTTAGCGCTAAGATCGCTTTGTGCAAGTGGGTCTAGGTGTTTACAATGTGTCATCTGTCTGATTATGTGTCATTGCACCCAGATAGTGTAAACTGTTGTTCAGTAAGGCAACTCCTTGGCTGGAATATTGCTGACAGTGGTGTAAAACAACATTCAGTCACTCACCCACTCCCCACACTGGTGGATAATTCCATGGGTGATGTGTGGAGGGTCAAATGTCGGTCTCCCACATCCCATAGCTGTTATCTGGTGGCTAGAATGGCTTCCCATAGAGCTGAAGGTTGGTGCTTCGATCCCCAGCCGTGTCATACCAAATGACATTAAAATATGCTACTTGTTGTTACCCTGCCTGGTACTTGGCATAAGGGGCTAAAACAAGGACAGTCAGTATACTGTGTCTGAGTGGGGTATTCATGTTAAACTGCGGCATGGTATCTCAGTGTGCTAGCACTATAAATCGGCATCAGTCCGGACTAGTACAAGCAGCCACACACACACATGTGCATGCACATCGCTATATAAGTGCAATAATCTTAAAACCTCATTTCACCTCACCTCACCTCAAAAAGTGGAACAGAGTATTGTTGGTTTGTTTTCCAACACCACACTCAGCAATATTCCAGCCATGACATTACAAGATGCCACTTGTTGTTACCCTGCCTGGCACTTGGCATAAGGGGCTAAAACAAGGACTGGTCAGCTTGGAGTCAGTATACTGTATCCAAGTGGGGTAGCCATACTAAACTTCGGCGTAGTATTTTTTGTGGGCTAGCACTATAAAACCGGTGTTAGTCCAGACTAGTAAAATAAGACACATACACACATGCATGCACGTCGCTATGTAAGTGCAATTGTCTTGTATGCAACATTAAACCCCATTTCACCTCATCACACCTCATCTCACCTCGCCTGTACCTGTTTATGATGAAGATTGGTTAGCTACAATGGATGGTAAGAGGGGATTTTTTAATTTCCCGTTTTGATCTGCGACCACACACGTGCAATTTGTAGATACAGTCGAACCTCGTTGTGTCGAAATCGAGGGAACCTGGGGAAAAGTTCGAAGTATCCAGGATTCAAGATATCAGGGGAATTTTAAGCCTAATTTGGATACTTCGGTCTCCAAACTGAGTTCAAGACAACAGGGAATTCATTCATTCATAAATATCATACATTAGGAATATTATTTGTATAATGTGAGCCTTTGGCAACATAATACATATATGTTTTTGTTCCTAATATATGATACATTTATGATACAGGTACTCATGAGGGTAATAATTTCTTATTAATGCCTATCAAACAAGTTAATAATTTCTTTACCATGTTATGTCATTCTTAAAACAGTGCATTCACTGAAGGAACAATGCATGAGTGAACCATCCCTTTTGTTATTTGGTGTCAAATTATTTGCAGCCATGTTTGCTAATAGAAGCAGTCCCACATTGAGGAAGCTTGTTAATGTTAGGCAATAGATTCTGGAGGAAGTAGGTATCTATTGACTGTCTGAAACCCTTGAAGTTCTGGGGTAGAATAGGTCTTCAGCAACCCATGCTTGTCGTAAAAGGCGACTATGCTTGTCGTAAGAGCCGACTAACGGGATCGGGTGGTCAGGCTCGCTGACTTTGTTGATGCATGTCATCGATCCCAATTGAGTGGATCGATGCTCATGATGTCAATCACTGGATTGTCTGGTCCAGACTCAATTATTTACAGACCGCCGTCATGTAGCTGGAATATTGCTGAGTGCAGCGTTAAACAAACAAACAAACAAATAAACTGTCCATGAATTTTTTTGAGACTACTGAGTAGCCCGAATTTTGCTTTCAGCATCATTTTAAGTCAATTTTAGTGTTATCATATGGTATTTTTGAGTTCACTAGCCCAAATACTAGACCCTGGAATCGAACTTGTAGCTAAAGCTGCAGACTACATCGACATATGGAGCCTACTGAAAGTAGTCCCTCCCAGTTTACCTCATTTGCAGATTTATTGGAATGTGATATCAAGTTTATCTTGTTGTTTTTTAACCTTGTGCTATATACTTTAATACAATGTCTGTTTACTCAATACACTAGTGATTAACAAGTTTAGGAAGGGGTTTCCAGATGTGTGGGGTGTTTCTGTACCCAAACCGGACTGCCAATCATTTGTCGCTATATGATCCATGGGGCAGGTCACTCAAACATTGTATTCATACACGGTTTCAAATTTTACTTCATTAAGGAGGTGGTCGGGTAGCCTAGTGGTTAAAGTGTTCGCTCGTCACGCCAAAGACCCGGGTTCCATTCCCGACATGGGTACAATGTGTGAAGCCCATTTCTGGTGTCCCCTGCCATGATATTGCTGGAATATTCCTAAAAGCGGCGCAAAACCATACTCACTCATTCACTTCATTAAGAGAAATTACATTTTTAAAATTTATTTCAAGAATATCATTATTTGATAAAGAGATTATTATCCTTGTGTTTCAGTATCATAAACATATATTAGAAATGAAAAATATGTATTGTATCCAAGATATTATTCCTAATAATATATATTTCAGATTCAGAAAAACACTCAGCTAACAAGTTGTAATATACTCACCACCTAAAGAAACGCGAACCATAAAACATAGAGAAGTATTTACTCTAAAGAGAGATGTTTCCAATGTGTTCAACATAATGACAAAAGTAACAATCAGTCAGGTGTTACTACAGTGTCTTTATTCTTATCACAATATGCTGCACGTAATTTTCAAACTTTACACGCTAATCCTGCACGAGACAAATAGTGTATCTCGAGTCATGGATCTATGGCGTCACATGTGATACGTTCATAAGCGTTGGTTCACACAACATACCAGTATGTTTGTTTGTGCATCGAACCAATCTAATATCTCCTGAATATGAGTAAATCTTCATATATTAACCAACATACATGTATGGTATTCACGTTTCTTTTGTCAGTGAGTATATATGATGATTACTACAGTTTCCATGTAGGAGTTGGATATTGGATATCAAATAAGATCGCACCTTCAGGATATTCATTAACAACGCCATCAACACCCAGTGTAGTAGAACCGACTGGTGTGGAAATGTGAAACCTGAAGACACATGGAAGAGAATGTGTCCGGTTTCATGGGGCAAGGTCATTCATTTCAAGATTTCATTTGCCAACCTGATTCTGAAATGGCTTTTATGATTATAGTATTTTGATCAATTTTCTGTTCTTCATCTGCCAGAAATGCAATTATACCAGGCCAAACCTTGTGAATACCTTAAGCAGATTATCTGTGTACTAATAAGCTACCCATGCCTGTATGGATAATTTGTAAACACAAAATGTCCTCGGCTTGAGATTTGTTGGCGCATACCGTATTTCCTCTATAAGACGCCTTGGCATAGTTTGGTCTCATACAGTACAAGTTAGTTTTGACTAGTGTGAAATTGGTAAATTATTGTTTTATGTATTGTGCAGGTAACAAACAGTGGATGCACCCCTCCGATGCCCTCCTGAAGGGCCATATCCTGTACAATGTCAAGGTGAGTGTTGGTGTCACACATGGGAACATTGTCCATGTCAATACTTTGAAATTATATGTATGTGGAAGCTTACCCTTGCCACCAGGCTAAAACTGGTGTACAACCCAACACACACTGACTGTATGACATTAGAGTAACCCGGTTAGACCAGGCAATTTTTTAGCCTAGGTGCTGTAAGGTACTTAAGTGTTCCCTGTATGGTACTTGAGTGTTCCCTGTATGCTGTATGGTACTTGATTGTTCCCTGTATGCTGTATGATACTTGAGTGTTCCCTGTATGGTGTATGGTACTCGAGTGTTCCCTGTATGCTGTATAGTACTTGAGTGTTCCCTGTATGCTGTATGGTACTTGATTGTTCCCTGTATGCTGTATGATACTTGAGTGTTCCCTGTATGCTGTATGGTACTCGAGTGTTCCCTGTATGCTGTATAGTACTTGAGTGTTCCCTGTATGCTGTATGGTACTTGATTGTTCCCTGTATGCTGTATGGTACTTGATTGTTCCCTGTATGCTGTATGGTACTTGATTGTTCCCTGTATGCTGTATGATACTTGAGTGTTCCCTGTATGGTGTATGGTACTCGAGTGTTCCCTTTATGCTGTATGGTACTTGAGTGTTCCCTGTATGCTGTATGATACTTGAGTGTTCCCTGTATGCTGTATGATACTTGAGTGTTCCCTGTATGCTGTATGGTACTTGATTGTTCCCTGTATGCTGTATGATACTTGAGTGTTCCCTGTATGGTGTATGGTACTCGAGTGTTCCCTTTATGCTGTATGGTACTTGAGTGTTCCCTGTATGCTGTATGATACTTGAGTGTTCCCTGTATGCTGTATAGTACTTGAGTGTTCCCTGTATGCTGTATGATACTTGATTGTTCCCTGTATGCTGTATGGTACTTGAGTGTTCCCTGTATGCTGTATGGTACTTGAGTGTTCCCTGTATGCTGTATAGTACTTGAGTGTTCCCTGTATAGTACTTGAGTGTTCCCTGTATGCTGTATGGTACTTGATTGTTCCCTGTATGCTGTATGATACTTGATTGTTCCCTGTATGCTGTATGATACTTGATTGTTCCCTGTATGCTGTATGGTACTCGAGTGTTCCCTGTATGCTGTATGGTACTTGAGTGTTCCCTGTATGCTGTATGGTACTTGAGTGTTCCCTGTATGGTGTATGGTACTTGAGTGTTCCCTGTATGCTGTATGGTACTTGAGTGTTCCCTGTATGGTGTATGATACTTGAGTGTTCCCTGTATGCTGTATGGTACTTGAGTGTTCCCTGTATGCTGTATGATACTTGAGTGTTCCCTGTATGCTGTATGGTACTTGAGTGTTCCCTGTATGCTGTATAGTACTTGAGTGTTCCCTGTATGCTGTATAGTACTTGAGTGTTCCCTGTATAGTACTTGATTGTTCCCTGTATGCTGTATGGTACTTGAGTGTTCCCTGTATGCTGTATAGTACTTGAGTGTTCCCTGTATGGTGTATGGTACTTGAGTGTTCCCTGTATGGTGTATGGTACTTGAGTGTTCCCTGTATGGTGTATGGTACTTGATTGTTCCCTGTATGCTGTATGGTACTTGAGTGTTCCCTGTATGCTGTATGGTACTTGAGTGTTCCCTGTATGGTGTATGATACTTGATTGTTCCCTGTATGCTGTATGATACTTGATTGTTCCCTGTATGCTGTATGATACTTGAGTGTTCCCTGTATAGTACTCGAGTGTTCCCTGTATGCTGTATGGTACTTGAGTATTCCCTGTATAGTACTCGAGTGTTCCCTGTATGCTGTATAGTACTTGAGTGTTCCCTGTATGCTGTATGGTACTTGAGTGTTCCCTGTATAGTACTTGAGTGTTCCCTGTATAGTACTTGAGTGTTCCCTGTATAGTACTTGAGTGTTCCCTGTATGCTGTATGGTACTTGAGTGTTCCCTGTATGCTGTATGGTACTTGAGTGTTCCCTGTATGCTGTATGGTACTTGAGTGTTCCCTGTATGCTGTATGGTACTTGAGTGTTCCCTGTATGCTGTATGGTACTTGAGTGTTCCCTGTATGCTGTATGGTACTTGATTGTTCCCTGTATGCTGTATGGTACTTGAGTGTTCCCTGTATGCTGTATGGTACTTGAGTGTTCCCTGTATGGTGTATGATACTTGATTGTTCCCTGTATGCTGTATGATACTTGATTGTTCCCTGTATGCTGTATGATACTTGAGTGTTCCCTGTATAGTACTCGAGTGTTCCCTGTATGCTGTATGGTACTTGAGTATTCCCTGTATAGTACTCGAGTGTTCCCTGTATGCTGTATAGTACTTGAGTGTTCCCTGTATGCTGTATGGTACTTGAGTGTTCCCTGTATAGTACTTGAGTGTTCCCTGTATAGTACTTGAGTGTTCCCTGTATAGTACTTGAGTGTTCCCTGTATGCTGTATGGTACTTGAGTGTTCCCTGTATGCTGTATGGTACTTGAGTGTTCCCTGTATGCTGTATAGTACTTGATTGTTCCCTGTATGCTGTATGGTACTTGAGTGTTCCCTGTATGCTGTATGGTACTTGAGTGTTCCCTGTATGCTGTATGGTACTTGATTGTTCCCTGTATGCTGTATGGTACTTGATTGTTCCCTGTATGCTGTATGGTACTTGAGTGTTCCCTGTATGGTGTATGATACTTGATTGTTCCCTGTATGCTGTATGATACTTGATTGTTCCCTGTATGCTGTATGGTACTTGATTGTTCCCTGTATGCTGTATGATACTTGATTGTTCCCTGTATGCTGTATGGTACTTGAGTGTTCCCTGTATGCTGTATGGTACTTGAGTGTTCCCTGTATGCTGTATAGTACTTGAGTGTTCCCTGTATGGTGTATGATACTTGATTGTTCCCTGTATGCTGTATGATACTTGATTGTTCCCTGTATGCTGTATGATACTTGATTGTTCCCTGTATGCTGTATGGTACTTGATTGTTCCCTGTATGGTGTATGGTACTTGAGTGTTCCCTGTATGCTGTATGATACTTGATTGTTCCCTGTATGCTGTATGATACTTGAGTGTTCCCTGTATAGTACTCGAGTGTTCCCTGTATGCTGTATGGTACTTGAGTATTCCCTGTATAGTACTCGAGTGTTCCCTGTATGCTGTATAGTACTTGAGTGTTCCCTGTATGCTGTATGGTACTTGAGTGTTCCCTGTATAGTACTTGAGTGTTCCCTGTATAGTACTTGAGTGTTCCCTGTATAGTACTTGAGTGTTCCCTGTATGCTGTATGGTACTTGAGTGTTCCCTGTATGGTGTATGGTACTTGATTGTTCCCTGTATGCTGTATGGTACTTGAGTGTTCCCTGTATGCTGTATGGTACTTGATTGTTCCCTGTATGCTGTATAGTACTTGATTGTTCCCTGTATGCTGTATGGTACTTGAGTGTTCCCTGTATGCTGTATGGTACTTGAGTGTTCCCTGTATGCTGTATGGTACTTGAGTGTTCCCTGTATGCTGTATGGTACTTGAGTGTTCCCTGTATGCTGTATGGTACTTGATTGTTCCCTGTATGCTGTATGGTACTTGAGTGTTCCCTGTATGCTGTATGGTACTTGAGTGTTCCCTGTATGGTGTATGATACTTGATTGTTCCCTGTATGCTGTATGATACTTGATTGTTCCCTGTATGCTGTATGGTACTTGATTGTTCCCTGTATGCTGTATGATACTTGATTGTTCCCTGTATGCTGTATGGTACTTGAGTGTTCCCTGTATGCTGTATGGTACTTGAGTGTTCCCTGTATGCTGTATAGTACTTGAGTGTTCCCTGTATGGTGTATGATACTTGATTGTTCCCTGTATGCTGTATGATACTTGATTGTTCCCTGTATGCTGTATGGTACTTGATTGTTCCCTGTATGGTGTATGGTACTTGAGTGTTCCCTGTATGCTGTATGGTACTTGAGTGTTCCCTGTATGGTGTATGATACTTGATTGTTCCCTGTATGCTGTATAGTACTTGAGTGTTCCCTGTATGATACTTGATTGTTCCCTGTATGCTGTATGGTACTTGAGTGTTCCCTGTATGCTGTATGGTACTTGAGTGTTCCCTGTATGGTGTATGATACTTGATTGTTCCCTGTATGCTGTATGATACTTGATTGTTCCCTGTATGCTGTATGATACTTGAGTGTTCCCTGTATAGTACTCGAGTGTTCCCTGTATGCTGTATGGTACTTGAGTATTCCCTGTATAGTACTCGAGTGTTCCCTGTATGCTGTATAGTACTTGAGTGTTCCCTGTATGCTGTATGGTACTTGAGTGTTCCCTGTATAGTACTTGAGTGTTCCCTGTATAGTACTTGAGTGTTCCCTGTATAGTACTTGAGTGTTCCCTGTATGCTGTATGGTACTTGAGTGTTCCCTGTATGGTGTATGGTACTTGATTGTTCCCTGTATGCTGTATGGTACTTGATTGTTCCCTGTATGCTGTATAGTACTTGATTGTTCCCTGTATGCTGTATGGTACTTGAGTGTTCCCTGTATGCTGTATGGTACTTGAGTGTTCCCTGTATGCTGTATGTTACTTGAGTGTTCCCTGTATAGTACTCGAGTGTTCCCTGTATGCTGTATGGTACTTGAGTGTTCCCTGTATGCTGTATAGTACTTGATTGTTCCCTGTATGCTGTATGGTACTTGAGTGTTCCCTGTATGCTGTATGGTACTTGATTGTTCCCTGTATGCTGTATGGTACTTGAGTGTTCCCTGTATGCTGTATGGTACTTGAGTGTTCCCTGTATGCTGTATGGTACTTGAGTGTTCCCTGTATAGTACTTGAGTGTTCCCTGTATGCTGTATGGTACTTGAGTGTTCCCTGTATGCTGTATGGTACTTGAGTGTTCCCTGTATGCTGTATGATACTTGAGTGTTCCCTGTATGCTGTATGATACTTGATTGTTCCCTGTATGCTGTATGGTACTTGAGTGTTCCCTGTATGCTGTATGGTACTTGAGTGTTCCCTGTATGGTGTATGATACTTGAGTGTTCCCTGTATGCTGTATGGTACTTGAGTGTTCCCTGTATGCTGTATGATACTTGATTGTTCCCTGTATGCTGTATGATACTTGAGTGTTCCCTGTATGCTGTATGGTACTTGAGTGTTCCCTGTATGGTGTATGATACTTGAGTGTTCCCTGTATGCTGTATGGTACTTGAGTGTTCCCTGTATGCTGTATGGTACTTGAGTGTTCCCTGTATGCTGTATGATACTTGAGTGTTCCCTGTATGCTGTATGATACTTGATTGTTCCCTGTATGCTGTATGGTACTTGAGTGTTCCCTGTATGCTGTATGGTACTTGAGTGTTCCCTGTATGGTGTATGATACTTGAGTGTTCCCTGTATGCTGTATGGTACTTGAGTGTTCCCTGTATGCTGTATGATACTTGAGTGTTCCCTGTATGCTGTATGGTACTTGAGTGTTCCCTGTATGGTACTTGATTGTTCCCTGTATGCTGTATGGTACTTGAGTGTTCCCTGTATGCTGTATGATACTTGAGTGTTCCCTGTATAGTACTTGAGTACTTGAGTGTTCCCTGTATGCTGTATGGTACTTGAGTGTTCCCTGTATGGTACTTGATTGTTCCCTGTATGCTGTATGGTACTTGATTGTTCCCTGTATGCTGTATGGTACTTGAGTGTTCCCTGTATAGTACTTGAGTACTTGAGTGTTCCCTGTATGCTGTATGGTACTTGAGTGTTCCCTGTATGCTGTATGGTACTTGAGTGTTCCCTGTATGCTGTATGGTACTCGAGTGTTCCCTGTATGCTGTATGGTACTTGAGTGTTCCCTGTATGCTGTATGGTACTTGAGTGTTCCCTGTATGCTGTATAGTACTTGAGTGTTCCCTGTATGCTGTATGGTACTTGAGTGTTCCCTGTATAGTACTTGAGTGTTCCCTGTATGCTGTATAGTACTTGATTGTTCCCTGTATGCTGTATGGCACTTGAGTGTTCCCTGTATGCTGTATGGTACTCGAGTGTTCCCTGTATGGTGTATGGTACTCGAGTGTTCCCTGTATGCTGTATGGTACTTGAGTGTTCCCTGTATGCTGTATAGTACTTGAGTGTTCCCTGTATAGTACTTGAGTGTTCCCTGTATGCTGTATAGTACTTGATTGTTCCCTGTATGCTGTATGGTACTTGAGTGTTCCCTGTATGCTGTATGGTACTTGAGTGTTCCCTGTATGGTACTTGAGTGTTCCCTGTATGCTGTATGGTACTTGAGTGTTCCCTGTATGCTGTATGGTACTTGAGTGTTCCCTGTATGGTACTTGAGTGTTCCCTGTATGGTACTTGAGTGTTCCCTGTATGCTGTATGGTACTTGAGTGTTCCCTTTATGCTGTATGGTACTTGAGTGTTCCCTGTATAGTACTTGAGTGTTCCCTGTATGCTGTATAGTACTTGATTGTTCCCTGTATGCTGTATGGTACTTGAGTGTTCCCTGTATGCTGTATGGTACTTGAGTGTTCCCTGTATGGTACTTGAGTGTTCCCTGTATAGTACTCGAGTGTTCCCTGTATGCTGTATGGTACTTGAGTGTTCCCTGTATGGTACTCGAGTGTTCCCTGTATGCTGTATAGTACTTGAGTGTTCCCTGTATGCTGTATGGTACTTGAGTGTTCCCTGTATGCTGTATGGTACTTGAGTGTTCCCTGTATGGTACTCGAGTGTTCCCTGTATGCTGTAAGGTATTTAAGTGTTTCCTCTAAGGTACTTGAGTGTTCCCTGTATGCTGTATAGTACTCGAGTGTTCCCTGTATGCTGTAAGGTATTTAAGTGTTCCCTCTAAGGTACTCGAGTGTTCCCTGTATGCTGTATAGTACTCGAGTGTTCCCTGTATGCTGTAAGGTATTTAAGTGTTCCCTCTAAGGTACTTGAGTGTTTCTTGTGCTTCAGTTCCTGGGCGAGTGTACGGTGGAAAACCCCAAGGGAACAGAGGTTGTCAAGGAAGCCATCAGGAAAATGAAAGTGAGTACCCCGAAAGTAAACTTGCAGCGAAAAATTGTGAATTCCTGGGAAGCAACTCAAATCAAATATACCCGGAGATCAAGACAAGAAGGCTTATCAACATGAAACAATCAAAAACAATAGAAGGGTCATTCAGTACGACTGCCACTGCTGCGCATACCCGATGTGGAAGTTGCTTCAGTAAGGCTTGATGAGGTCAAACTACTTTGTACATTATGCTAGAATCTAGACCACCCGTCATCTTATCAGATATCAACTCCCCTGATTTCTGCACAGGGTCGAATAATGATAAGTTTTAAACACTCCTGTCATGAACTTACTTTGTCCGTAGGAAAGAAGTTGTACATTGCTCAGTAACTGAACTGGTGTATATATATAGTATTGATCTGTGTGAAATATATTGCCTGTTTGCATTGGTATTCAATTCCTATTTATTGTAACAATTGCACTATGCAGTGTTGGATGTTAGCAATGGTAATATCAAATTAAGTAAATTCTGCTCATCCATCCTTCTGTCACGGCTTGACCCAGAGCAGAACTAAGTGTCTGTTTAGAACCTTGAATATATGATTCAGTGCTCATATAACGAACAAAACAAGTTAGGGATCGTGAATATTTTTTTAAATATTTATATGAAATTGTGTGCTCAGTCTGAACAAAACAATAATATTTCCCAACAAATATTCATGATCCCTAATATTTTTTGTTCAAGTTATATCTGAATCAAACAGGTTTTGTATTTCTGTAGTAAAGAGTTACCCAGATTTGACATGCATCATATGTATACACGGAACAGAGTTTAGAATTAGGAATTTAGAATTCTTTACAATAGATGGGGCATAGCTGGCCCAGTCATCTAAGGCACCCCAATCACCTGTGCAGAGTTGCATCCCTTGGGCACGCCAGAAACCTATGATCGTGGGTTCGAACCCCGGTTCGCCCTGAATATGTTTCTGGGTTTGTCAGCACCATACCTGTGCTCGTGGGTTTCACCGAAGTGGTAAATGTCTGAGACCTGCATCACTTTGGGCTTTCCTCCAACATTAAGCTGACATGCCGTGATATAACTGGATAAATGTTAAAAGCGGCGTTAAAACCAAACTCACTCACTTACTTTACAATAGATTGAGTAATAAATGTCCTGAAACTTTTAAGGTCAAATATACAATACCTATACATGGATTTACCTGGGGTCCAGTTGACTTGAACTGTTGTGGTCCCAGGTTAAAAAAGTGGGATCCCAAGCTACAAAATGGGGGTCCTATATAGTTTGCATCCCAGTAAATGCACTTTGCATCTATTTTGCCCCGATTTAAATGTTTATGCGTATAGGATGCAGAATTTCGTGTCCTTGCCTACAATTGTATGGTGGTTGATCTTCACACATATGCATTCATGCAATGACTGGTTTTCATTGCATATTTATAACCCTGAACCCTTATAAGGGCTATTAATACCAATATTTTACAACACAGAAAATAACAGCTTTTGTTAAGGATATATGTACTGTTGTCTTATCTTTGTTCACATGACTGAAAGTCAAGTAAGCTAATGTGGCCTATCCGATGTCTGTTGTGCATCGATCTCATCCGCCATAAGCATCTTCTAAACAGAAACAAATCAATCAATGAAGCTGAAACTTCACATGCTTGTTCCCACCAATGATGACCCCAATTTGTTGAAGAGGTTCTGATTTAAAATAATTCAATATGGCCACCATTGCAGCCATATTGAAAAACATGTTTATGGCCATTACTCAGTCAGTTTTGTTTCAAATGTAATCAAATTTGATGTGTGTAAATAAGATAGCAGTGGGATTCCACACGTGTGTTTCTATATTCACAAAACGTAAAATTTGACCTTGTGTTGACCTTTGTATTTTGACCAAACTCTTAATTTCTCTCGTATTATAAAAGTGGAATGGCTGACCAGGCTTGCTGACTTGGTTGATTGTGTGTCATCATAGCCTGACAATGTTGATCATGCCTGATCACAGGATTGTCTGGTAAAGGCACAACTATTTACATGCTGCTGTCATATATAGCTGGAATATTGCTGAGTGTGGTGTTGGAAAACAAACCAACAATACCCTTTTCCACTTTTTGAGGTGAGGTGAAATGGGGTTTTACGTCGCGTCCAAGATTATTGCACTTATATAGCGACATGCATGCATGTGTGTGTGTGTGGCTGCTTGTACTAGTCCGAACTGATGCCGATTTATAGTGCTAGCACACTGAGATACCATGCCGCAGTATAACATCAATACCCCACTGACAATTTTACTGACTCTGAGCCGACCAATCCTTGTTTTAGCCCTTTAATGCTGAGCGCCAGACAGGTTAACAACAAGTACCATCTTTTAACATCTTTTGGTATGATGCGGCCGGCGATTGAACCCCGGACCTTCCGCTCTCTGGGCGGATGCTCTACCACTAGACCACGGAGGCGGTCTCCACTATATGAGAATATATTGTCATATATTATTTTGTAATGGTGCCTTACTATTATTATCTAGATACAGTAAAATATGGTTATAACAAACTCAAAGGGAGCACTTATTCTAGTTTGTTATAACCATAGTTCGTTATAAGCATATATACAGCATATACCGGTATACAGCAAATGGCAGGGGACAAAAAAATGATTCATTATAGCTGTCAGTTCGTTGTAAGCTTGTTTGTTATAAACATAGTTTACTGTATGTACTATTTAAAACAACCACCGATCTGTATGTTTTAAAAATACCACATTTCATCATGTTCCAGTTCAACAAACACATTAAGAGGGCAGAGGGCCAGAAACCACCCAAGGTGGAGCTGACGATATCGGCTGATGGGGTGACGATTCAAGACCCGCGAACCAAGGTATGGATGGAAGAAAAGGCCATATCATTATAACTATTTCTTGAAGAGTTTGCCCGAACCCGTTCCACATAGCAATCTCAGGGCTAAGTTTGCTTTGTGGAGTTGGATGTGAAGATCCACTTAGGGACCAGCTGGGTAGCTCAATAATTAACGCCTATTGGTCTGGATGCGAGAAACCCTGTTGGTTTGGTCCCTTGCAGAAGAAAAATGTGTGAAACTCATTCTTGTTGTGAATCAATGTGGTGCGAGATAATTCTGTATATGTTATTATTATTTTGTTGGTGAATATGAGTGAATACTGCTTATTGCCATATAAGGAACATTACAGTAATTACAATATTGAACAGTTTTACTTATGTATTTTAAGAAAATTGAGATTTGTCTTCAAGGATTAATATTCCTCGGGCCCGATCTTCTAATTTTATATATTAATTATGTGTATAAATAATATAAAAGCGTAAAATCTACAACAAATGGTGCCAAGAGCCAGGTTATTGGCACAGACTGCAAGTGTAAAACAATCCTGATGGTGAACTGTATGTCAGTCATACCACACTGATACATCTGGGTCAGGCTGGTGCCGTGTCGCTGACCGATGCTATCAGAGTGATCTGGGGCTACAGGCAAAGTTACAGATGACACTCCTTCAAATCCACTTTAATAATTCTGTTGCACTAATTGTGGGTTTGAATGAAAAAGATTGACCATAAATGTAGGTCATGTGAGGTCATGACAAATAAATTGATTACAATTTGGGTTTTTGAGGCTACAGTTGTGATGTGATGGGCATTTGTAAGTAAATCATTGATACTATTGGCTTTAATATACTACTCAAAAGAAGTTAAAGAACACCCCTTCTTTCATTTGGCATAACAGGTTAACTATAGTAATATGAAAGAATCGGGTGTTCATTAATTTCTTTTGAGTAGTATATCATATATACTAATGCTACAATACTACTTCAACATAAAGGGGCAGTCGGGTAGCCTAGTGGTTAAAGCATTCGCTTGTCACGCCGAAGACCCGGGTTCGATTCCCGACATGGGTACAATGTGTGAAGCCCATTTGTGGTGTCCCCCGCCCGCCGTGATATTGCTAGAATATTGCTAAAAAAGCGGCAGAAAACCATACTCACTCACTCACTCACTCACTCACTCACTCACTCACTCACTTCAACATAAACATGTTCATGTTTTCTTGAAGAGTGACTGAATTTGAGTGTCACATGTTTAGAACACCTTTCAACAGTATCTCAGTTACAGCACAACATGCCAGCAGCAGTTGGAAGAAAGCTGGTTCACTTTTGTTGAAACTCATTAGCATGGGTATGGTGCTATCAGACCATGTATCATTGTTTGAGCTCATCGGGGATTTTATCCCATGATTAGAGGATCCTGATATGAGTAGGGGAAGCAACTCTGAGCATGTTGACCATCCATGATGTATTGTCTCACCGCTAACAGACATTAATTGTTTGTACAGACATTTCACAAATAGTCTGAGTGAGACTACAGCTCGCCTGTAATTTTATAACATGTACATCAGACACTGTCCGTGTTAGATATGGTAAACATCACAGAGTGAAACGGCTGTGAGACAATTCACTGTTTTTGGTCAGTAAGGATTAAAAAAGTATGGCTGTTGTTGTAACCACACTTGTTTTTGAATGCAAGAAAAGAGCTTCCTTTCTTATCTCTAACGCAGAGGGGCAGGAGATGATTTTCTTTGTGGTGACGATGAAAAGAAATTAATTATTGATCTATCTCTGAACATCTAGTCATCTATCCTGTTTGTCCATGGTTTATTATGTTTCGGAAAAGAACCAATGAAAACTGTCCATATGACTACTAGACCGCCTCCATGGTCTTGTGGTAGAGCGTCCACCTGGAGAGCGGAAGGTCTGGGGTTCGATCCCTGGCTGCGTCATACCAAAAGATGTTAAAAGATGGTACTTGTTGTTACCCTGTCTGGCGCTCGTCATTAAGGGGCTAAAACAAGGACTGGTCGGCTCGGAGTCAGTATACTGTGTCTGAATGGGGTATTCATGTTAAAACTGCGGCATGGTATCTCAGTGAGCTAGCACTATAAATCGGCATCAGTCCGGACTAGTACAAGCAGCCACACACACACGTACATGCACGTTGCTATATAACTGCTATAATCTTGGACGCGATGTTAAATCCAATTTCACCTGACCTCACCATATGACTACTATATTTGCAAAAATGTCTAACCATTGGACCATTGGGGACTTTCAGCCAATGAAAGGCACTGATAGTAAAGTGAGATGCATAAGGCAAAGAAAAACAGGAAGTTCACGTTCCATAATTGATACAGCTGTTCATGTAATGTAAAATATGTTTGAGACAGTCAGTGTACCCCATAACTATATAAAATAAACCTAGATACATGAACATACCTGATGTACCTCTGAGTGTAGACATTATGAGCGAATCAATGAGTTATTGCGGGAATCTCACAAGGCCTGCAGCCTCGGCAGAACGCTGCATAGTGTGATGTAATGCGATGACAACAACATATTGAACTGTGTATTTAATTTTATCAACTTGAAATGAAGCTGCATATTGATTGGGAGTATCTCATACTCTTTGTATGGCAACATATCCGAGCAATCAGTCACATTCAGACCCCACGTAGATACATGTACTCCCTATCCCTATCACAAGTTGAGTAGTATATATAAGGATACCCATGACAAGTGAAATTCATCAAACCCTTGGGATACGTTTAGCATTAGACAAACTGCCTGGGGCTAGTAGGCCAGTGACAACTTGCATCCCCGAGTCTGATGGCAAGATGTGGGATAGCCTAGTAGGCCAAGTGTTTCCTTGTCATGACCCAGGTTTGAATCCCCAACAATATATTATAATGGTCAAACACTGCTCTCAGTGGCATAAACCCGCTTAGCATACAGGCAGCCTCTGACATACATCCCTGCAGTATCAGTGCATCAGAGACATTGGGTAATAAATCATTGCTTACCTGGTATTACATATGATCTGCAGTAGGCTAATAATGATGTATGATTTGCTTCTCATGACTGACCTCATTGTCTTGCAGATGATCATGCATCAATACCCTCTGCATCGGATCTCCTACTGCGCTGATGACAAATCGGACAAGAGGATGTTTACTTTCATTGCCAAGTCAGCAAATACTAGTCAACATTTCTGCTATGTCTTCGACAGTGATAAGTGTGTAAGTACACTGGTGTGTCTCTGTCTGAAGGTACAGCTTCACAACGTTCATAATTACAGAATAAGGTTATTGTCATCATACTAATATCAGTTAACATTAACTCTGGGAACATTTCAAAAGTGTTATGCCAGTGGTTTAGATTTTGGTGATTAATGGACTGAATTAGGCCAAAGGGATAATTAAAAAATCTGTGGTGTTTCCTTTAGGCGGAGGAGATCACACTGACCGTGGGACAGGCGTTTGACCTGGCATACAAGCGCTTCCTTGAGTCTTCCAGCAAAGACATGGACGTCAAGAAACAGTTCTTGCTCCTGCAGAAAAAGGTAGACCAATGGTCAAGTAATCTATGATGTCACGAGATTAGCTTTCTGAAAACTTGACACCTATATGTCGAATTGAACAAAATCCTAATGGTGTTGTGTGATGGCCTCACGTTACGTCAACATTATTTCTATCTGTGGTTATGTATGTGTATCAAAAGAAGACATTTCAAGACGTCTAGGGTTTGTCCGATATTGAGACATTAATCTTGAGACATGGTAACATTGATTGCAGGTCCAGACACTGACGTTTGAAAATCAAGAGTTGAAAAAAAGGATTTCAGAGCTGGAATCAATCAAAGACCGATCAGACGTCCAGGATTACATGAGAAGTAATCAGGTATGTCTCAGTCACATGACCTGTCACCTTGTGCCACATGAAACTCACATGACCTGTCTCCTTATGTCACGGGGCTGTCACATGACCTGTCACCTTTTGTCTATGGGTAGTCACATGACCTGTCACCTCAGGTCACAAGATCAACTTGTCACCTTGTGTCACATGACAGTCACATGACCTGTCACCTCAGGTCACATGATTGACTTGTCACTTTGTGTCATTGTACAGTCACATGACCTGTCACCTCATGTGACATGACAGTCTCAATATCAGTCACCCAATGCAAGGTTAGTTAGTTACAGATGTTGGACTCCACAGAGAGAATTGTGCTAGTCAACCCACCTCTGCCAAACCAAATACCTGTTGCTTTGTTCTCCTCATTTGACTGGATTGTAACATGTGAACACAACATCCGGTTTATTCCATTCATTTAAATCCCAGCTTGCAGCAATCTTCTCCCACTGTGCAACCATTGTTGATTTTATTGAAAGAACTACACATGTTTTCCTAGTACCAACACAAGTATGCAGGACAGGATTTAGTTGAATTCTAGCATGTGCATGGTATTGTAATATTTTCTTTCATTGTATAAATATGCCATGTATACTGAAGGAAAGAAGTTAGGGAACATGTATTGTTTTAACTAGAATTTCATATGGCCCTTCAGAGAAAGACATATTATTTGGTAATGAAGTGAACATTCCTTTATAGTAACACTTCAATGATATGAAATTTATAAAACACAGAAGTAGACACTATTCTGCAATATTGCTGAGATGTCACAATTCACCGATCTATCGATGCGTTGTGAATTTTCATCAGCCAGTTCAATGCCCAATACACCTACCCATTCTTCAGATCATGTTTTATTTTGTGTGGATTTTCAGAAGTAATAATTCCGATTAATAATGTAACAAGCTAGATTAACCAGTCATGCAAGTAAAACACAAACTGGTTGACCGCTCCACCTGATATTATCTGGACAACATAGGACATGGGGAGTTCCATGCGAAAGCAGACCAAATTAGATATTCGGATATATACCACACAAAAATAGTTAAAGACTGCCTGATTGTTTAGTATAACTGTAGTTATTCTGTCATGCAATTCTTTCCTGACTCAAGTATCGTAATATAGGCGTATCTTGACAAGTCAAATGTGTTCCTTCACTTTTTTCCATCAGTATATTCTTCTGTTTCTGTATTAGAATATGTTCCATCTTGTAAGGTGTTATAGACAATGCAGTATAATTTCTTTTCTATATTTGTCATGCTGCATGACATTATCTCAAGCTGTTGTGCATACCAGTTCACATAGTTGATTTTATGTAGTTGTTTCTGTGAGTTTGGTGAAACCACACACCCTTTGTCTTGTGATTGACAGGAATTAAGAGAGCATGAGGTAAGGTTATTACATGACCATAGATTATTTTTTCAGTTTAATGTTTTTCTATCTATTATTTGCACTGCTGTTTTGACCTTTCAGCAGGCATGGCTAGTTTTATTTTTTAAGATTATATTATGTTGATATTATTTGATACATTGTTAATGAAATAATAGATATTATACTTGATTGTATATTATAACAGTAATTGAAAGTGTTCATTTAAATAATGTCAAGAGCATGTTGATATTTAAGTCTATTTTAGTAACTGAAACAAATTCCTTTACATAATCATTTGCAAATAGAAAGTCTTAAGAGTAAAACTAGCCTAGCCTGTATAATCGTTATGCCACAATGCATCACATGTGATCCAATGCTTATGACATTCTGCATGACCTTTGCACTGTGTGACCTCTCTGCAGATATCTGACCTTTCAACTGTGACCTATAACCTCCAGGAAAGTTCGACAGATGATGATTTTTCTTCCACATCTGAACAAGAGGTAGTTGGAGAGCTAAAGTTTCTGCATGTATATTATGTCTTGTATTTAATACTTGTAGGGATATTGTTTTAAAGATTTGTTTTAACATGGGGAAACAAGATATGATGTTAATTACAAGGTAGACAAAAAGGCTATTCCAAATGGACTGCCAAATGATTCCTTGAAATAAATCACAAAAAGAATTCATCTCTGCACATCATAAAGATGATGCAACACAAAGTCTGCAAGAAACCAGTCTACAAAACTTCAGTGCAGTGTGTGACACATTCATATGCCCTGGGTATAAACAAATACTGTTTTTCCTCTATTACACGTCAAATCTCCAATACACACCAGCCTCTAATTGATGCCGGTCATACCCAACAAATTTATTATTAGATGCTGGATCCATCTTTGCTGAAATTAATGATCCCTATGATAAATAATGACCAATTCCTGCAAATGTACCCGGTACCCTGTGTATGACTGCAGAATTTGGGATTCTGTAAGGTAGTGAGTTGCCACTGTGCCAGCCATAAACAGAATAGACACATAATTAATAGATTCCCGGTGTCTAATAGAGGAAATATGTATGTGAAAACTGAATCATACAGGAACTAGATTCCTTAGACTTTGTGTGTAGAAAGGTGAAGGTTAGGCTGACAACTTTTCTCCAAATTAGGATACCCATGACAATGAAGTTGGGTAAGGTGAGGTGAAATTGGGTTTAATGTCGCGGATGGGCGGATGAACGGACGCTCTACCACTAGACCACGAAGGCGGTCCATGACTATGAATAATAACTGATACTGAATATTTATATCATGTCCCACATTATGCTGTCATACCATGATAAGGTTAGAACTTTGTTTAGAGCAGTGTTAGTTTTCTACTCGCGCAATCACCGAAAGTCAAGTGAGATAAGGTCCTGGCCTACTTTTCTGGCGACATTGTAACCATCATCTTAGAAACAACTTGGCCAATGAAACTGAAACTTCACTTGCTTGTTCCCTCTAGAGACCATAAAAATTGTTTCTTGGCTGTCTTTTTATTACCCGATTTGTATTGCTCGTTTTCCTGGAGCAGAACTCCCAAACCGTTGAATATTTTTGGATGAAACTTGCTGTACAGATCAGTCTAGTGGTGAACTGGTGCCCTTTGATGATTTGGGATTTTTATTTTTTAAGTTTTTTTATGTTTACATAACAATAAATTGGACTTTAATGAAAATTCTGGAGCAGAACTCCAAAACCATTAAATATATCTTGATCAAACTTGCTCTACAGTTCAGTCTAGTGGTGAACTGGTGTCTTTTGATGATTAGGGATAGTAAAAAAATGAGGGTGCTGACTCTCTTCCTGTATGTCGAGGGGGCACGGGTGGCCCAGTCGTCTTGATTCGCTGTGCAGAGTTGCGTCCCTTGGGCATGCCAGAAACCTATGATTGTGGGTTTGAATCCCGGTTCGCCCCGATTATGTTTCTAGGTTTGTCAGCACCATACCCCTGCTCGTGGGTTTCACCAAAGTGGTAAACGTCTGAGACCTGCATCACCTCGGGCTTTCCTCCCACTGGAATACTGTTAAAAGCGGCCTTAAACCCAAGTAACTCACTCTCTCCTGTATGTCGAAATGGCGAACCTTGTTCAGTAGTATTCCGGGTGCCATGGTGCAGTATGCTTGATGCCATGAAATGTTTATCTGGTTTGCAGATGCCAATATTTCAATTTTGAATTTTCTTTTTTTCTTGCAAGGGTGAAAAACAGGGAAATGTATGGCCCTAATCTAATTAGCATGCATGGTCATGCAATCCATGTGAAGTCCCATCCCAATTTACTTGTACCAGGTGTGTACACTGATATGACTCAAGGGTTCTTAAATTGGATGAAAGACAAATTAAATGGTATGCCAGATGCCTGGAGTGAGTTTTCACCCACAGTACTGATATCTGATATAATGCAAACAGAACACGACTCTATTCGGTATATCAGGAGACCTGTGCCCTTCATTGTTGGCACATTAAGACATTGTGTTAATGTTGATCGATACTGGGAATGAATCAATATACATTTTACACAAATAAGTTGTCACAGGGTAAGTCATGGTTTTGCACTACGACTATGGACTATCTGAGTTTGATTTAGTTGTAAGACTTTGTTATATAATACATTTATAAACCGCAGGTACCCAGGTACTAGTATCTGCTTAAATGAGGTTATATTTGTTCCCCGACCAGTGAATCCATTTACATTCCAGTTATCATTCTCATCTCCCTGGGGAGTATACAACCCTAGCTGCCTATGGGCGCTAGCGGGTTTTTACATTCACCTCACATGTTGGGTATCCATTCCCTGCTGGGTGAACAGAGGCACATTTGAACTAAGTTACTTGCCCAGGATGACACAACACGTTTTAACCCTTGTGTTTCGGGTATATATACGTGTTCATGTTTCCACCATCTGGTCATCTTTTGAGTGCACATGGTGTATGTACTGTACACTAGGGGTAGTGACAACTCTGTAAAGACCTGTAAACATTGTTGATCTCAAGGCTGAATAACAACCCGGTCACTAGCGCCATACTGTTTTGACTGCTTGCCCACTCTGCCCCCCCCCCCCCCCCTGATACCAGTCTTCATGATAAAGGTTGAGATGTATGAAATAAGCATTAAAAAACAATGTCAGTTTATGTTATGGTCTTGGCACATCACTGGCAGTGTTTCAGGTTCTTAGTCAGGATGTAAAAATCATGTAGTTTTTCATCAGGCCATCGTAGACGAATCAAATCCCAAAATCTTTGATTGTTACTTGGTTTTCTGATAATGAGAACACACAATAGTTCATGTTTAATGGAGTAGACACAGAGCTTGTATTAATCTTCTCATATATGTATATGTTTAGTTGAGTTGGTACATAAAACTCTTGCATTAAAAATATCCCCCCACACCCCCCCAAAAAATTAACTGCTAAATGCTTTTCTAAGTCAAGCACTGCATAAAATATCATTGGCTTTTGTCAGTTTTGTATTCAGAAGTAGGGTATATTAAAATACAATTCAGCAATGTTTTGGTTGAGTTTACTGTTTACAAAATGACTTCATAAAGAATAAAGCAAAAAACGGTAAAATACGGATTTGTGTTGTGATTATCAGTCAGTTCACTTTCCAAATATGCTGTCTGTTGTTGACAGGCACAGTCTGCAGTTGGCAGACGTCTGGAGAATCTGGTGTTCGATGACTTCCCGCCATCGTCACAGACTAATGGCACCAATGGAACCAATGGCAACTCAACACCAGGTGGCGCCCAACGTCAAAACTCTGCTCAACCTACTCCCCTACGTATGTATTCATGTTTGGGTTTTATTGTGAAATAAGACCCCAAAATAAAGTAGGATCGGGCCATACTGAAACAAAATGGAAATAGCTAGATTAGTGTGCACAAGATAAATATTGTTTCTAGAGGATATTCTGATCTGTTTTTGTTTCATGTCACAAATGTAATATTTAGAAATAATATCTTAAAATTTGGTTTATTTCATTTGGTAAAAATATTACAAAGTAAGTTTTGTGTGTAATGCTTCCTCAGTATATTACTACATTAGAGTATGTGTATGTTCTAGTGGAAATAGCTAGATTGGAAATAGCTAGATTAGTGTGCACAAGATAAATATTGTTTCTAGAGGATATTCTGATCTGTTTTTGTTTCATGTCACAAATGTAATATTTAGAAATAATATCTTAAAATTTGGTTTATTTCATTTGGTAAAAATATTACAAAGTAAGTTTTGTGTGTAATGCTTCCTCAGTATATTACTACATTAGAGTATGTGTATGTTCTAGTGGAAATAGCTAGATTGGAAATAGCTAGATTAGTGTGCACAAGATAAATATTGTTTCTAGAGGATATTCTGATCTGTTTTTGTTTCATGTCACAAATGTAATATTTAGAAATAATATCTTAAAATTTGGTTTATTTCATTTGGTAAAAATATTACAAAGTAAGTTTTGTGTGTAATGCTTCCTCAGTATATTACTACATTAGAGTATGTGTATGTTCTAGTGTCTCCCCCTCCCCCGTCGACGAGGACACGAAGTCACACCCAGCCCGCTGCTGTGGGCGTAGCGGCTGCAACAGCCTCACAGAAACAGAAAGGTTTGTTTTAGACATATTCCTGAGGAATGGTTTACTTAAAGCCTTACTTGTCATTAGCTTTGAGGGATCAGCCATTGTGTACTGAAATGTTGGGGATCTGTACAAGTGTGTATATTTATTTATTGCTAAAATGAATGTCTACTTTTGAATGTCTACTTTTCACAATTAAGAATTGCTTAAACAGGACTATTATCTGATCTTAAACTCAGATCCCAAATTGGCTTGATTATCATCCTCAGCCTCGTTCCAAATAGCGATCATATCACTAAGTCGATCGTAACTCACATTCTTTATCACTGACTTGTGACAGTCGTAGAGCTAAGTCGATGGTAACTTATGTTCTTTAACACTGACTTGAGACAGTCATATAGCTAAGTCGATCGTAACTCACATTCTTTAACACTGACAGTGACAGTCGTAGAGCTAAGTCGATCGTAACTCATGTTCTTTAACATTGACAGTGACAGTCGTACAGCTGAGTCAATCGTAACTAAGTTGTAGAGCTAAGTGGATCGTAACTCATGTTCTGTAACACTGACAGTGACAGTCGTAGAGCTAAGTTGATCGTAACTCATGTTGTTTATCACTGACTTGTGACAGGCGTAGAGCTAAGTCGATCGTATATTAACATTCTTCAACACTGACATGTTCTCTAACATTCATTTGTGACAGTCGTAGTGCTAAATCAATCGTAACTCACATTCTTTTACCCTAATTTATGACCTTCATAAGCTTTCCCCTCACATTAAGCTGACAAGAGGTATGATTAAAATACTGTTCACACCAGCATAAAACCCAGCTCACAAATTCCCTTGCAGGATTCAGCGGCAACCCATTCTCTCCGACCTCCATGGGAGCTGCCTCTTCATCAGATCCTTTTGGCATGGGAGTGTTCAATCCATCGACCTCGGAGCTGGATCGGGCCATCCAGAATGTGGACCAGGAACTCCTAGATTTACAGGTTAGCAAGGCTGGGATTTTTGTCGTAGACAAAATCTTTTCAGTTACTGCTCAAAACGGGTTTTGTAGGAAAGAGGAACTGAACCATTTCTTTTTTGAGTAAAATTATAATTTTCTAGCGTTTACTTCAACAAAAGACATTTTTTGTGATGAGCGAATGTTTTAGCCTTTCTGCTCCACTGCACCTGGGATGATAGAAGATTGGTAATTTATGTAGTTTCATGTCCTTGGTTACTTTTTTAAAAACTTACTCAGGTTAGAAATATACTGGTCATTTGTACTGTATCAATGTCATTACTACTATGTCATTGTTGATAAGTATTATCAAGCACACACATGTGAACAGGAAAACAGTATTGTATTATTGACTTGTCTGTTTCAGACTGGCTTCAGTCGAGGGCTTTCAATAGGAACAGATGATTTCTCATTAGATGACCTTGACCCCTTAAACCAGAGGTCATGAAGAGAAGGCCACAGGGTCAAGTTAAAGGATATGTGATGATTGAAAAAAATACTCCTTTGGGAGACAAGAGAGTCTCATGCTATTTTGTTTACAGATATTTTGTACATACACCCTCTTCTGATGTTTGTATTTTAAGCATGAAATACATGTACTCCTTGTCATTTTTTTGCCGTAAAGATATTTTTTGCAGTTAATTTGTACATCATGAAGGACACTGATTGAATGGGGCTATTGATGGTTGAGAACTAAACAAGAAACATCACTAGACAGAACCCAGTTGCTTTCCAAACTGGCTTTCCACGAACTGGTCATAAAGATGCAGTTAGACTACAGTCAAGGAATGGGATTACCTTTCATTGACCTTTGCTACAGCATTTGACCTGAGTGCTGATTGGTCTGTCCATAAATAGATCCATTATTATCCAACCCAATGCAACGAACATGCTTGCCTAGAACTATATGATATTAATCATATTATGTATTATATGCATACCCACAAATATCAGATTTATATCCAGATTATTGAATAGAGAAACTTGCTGCTCAACGAGCAGTCTGAAGTTTTTTCAGCGTGGAATATGCACACATGATTTTCATATGCTTGAAAAAAGGAAGTATGCAAATGTTATCAAAGCTTTAGGAAGTACTTGTAATACATATGGAAGAAAACCTCGAAGCTTTGTGACCATGGTCCATGGTTGGTGACCTGAAAGATTTATTTTTACACTTTCTATATTTGTATTTTATAATTAGTTTAGTGAAATTTACATGTATTTCACCGAAGAACATACTAAAGGTTAATTTCAGGATCACAGAAGGAAGAAGTTTTTAAAATGCTTTTCATGTTTTATACAGCATTCCTTTTATGTACTTTGTTTGTTTGTGCATCATAACCTGTTGTCATGGCAATGCAAGTTGTTTGATGTCGTCCATGTGTACCTTCATTAAAAAAAAATGTCATCTTCTTGGGACCAAGATTTATCAAGGCAGTGCTTCAGGCTGCCAGGGGTGTTGTTTACTGTTAATTCCATCTGACCCTTATTTCTAAGAAAGCTTGTTTTTCTAAAATCTGATCAATTGTTGTGGAATAATAATAACAATGTGCATACAATACAATACTGTATTCGACATAATAAGCACCCAGTGCGCTCTCAAAATTAGAAATAGGGGGCTCTTATTAGAATATCATTATGGTGAAAAAAAAGAAGTTGAAAGATAAATTTCGTGGTTTATGCTGACAACCTGAAATGTTTATGTACGACAAATATATTTTTCCAGAATTTAATTGCCCACAATTAAGGGTACATATAACACACAAGTGCGTATTATACACGGATAAATAAGTCTTGTGTACATTGATCAAACGGAAGTGGTGCTAATTGGGATTGTTCATTAGCAAATATCACCGTGGGCGCTTATTAGAGCGGGGTGCTTATTACGTCGAATACGGTATATCTATATCTCAAATTTAAATCAAAGGCAACTGATGATAAAATGAACATGTTGGAGAACATATTCAGTGTTGTTTTGTTTTAATTTTAACTATATTGGACTACTCTCGAATTGGAAGTTTCTATAGGTTGACCCCTAAGGATTCCATTTCACCTGAAGCCCTGTCTTGATGCAGTTTATTGCTATGCATCAAATAATGTACTCCCATCAACATTCCACAAGGACAAGCAACAGGTGGTTAAATCACACGATTTCTTCTTCTGATTAACCATTTACATGTTGCATTGTCATAGTGACATTCCTGTGTTTTTTTACAGTGATATGTGGATTGGTTTATCTGATTATGCAACAAGCTTTGATCAAAATATTTATTGACATTTGTTACATTCCCTGTATGTGAAACTAGTGCTGTAATAATTTATTACATACCTGAATCGTGGTATCTTTAGTCAAGGGGAAGTAACTCTTTATCTAAGACGATGTTATCATGTGCATAAACTCACTCAAAAGTAGCAGGAAAATAGTACAAACAGAGACCATATACTGGTATATGGTCTCTGGTATGATGTTCTTTGCACTGAATAATGGTAACATGTCAAGGGGAATAACTCCTTATCTAAGCAGGTAATTTGTTGTCCAGAGTTGTGTCCCTTAGATTTGAGGCACTTTGGTCTGTTGGTATTGAACCCATGTTTTGGGGGTTTCACCAAGGTGGTAAACATTTCTCTATCATGCTGATATTAATCTACAGTTCACTATGGGTATCCCCTGGTTAGAATTGATCTTCAGCCACCCATGCTTGTCGTAAGAGCCTGATCAAGTGGTCAGGCTCGCTGACTTGGTTTATGCATATCATCTTATCCCAAATGTGTAGATCGATATTCATGATGTCAATCACATATTGTATGGTCCAGACTCGAATATTTACAGACCGCCATCATATAGCTGGAATATTTCTGAGTGCAAGTTAAACAACAAACTATGAGTATCATACTGACCATGTACAACAAGGTCTGCATAGGTCAGAATAATCTAGTCATGTTCATAGATCTATTTAAAGGGACGTCGACACTGGTTAATGAAGTCAGCTCTGCTTCCCATAACCTGCTTGACTAATCATGCCTTAATTTAGCAGGCATACGTTTGTGATCCTTATGTGATAACTCTTCGGGCAAGTAAATGTTTCAGATTCATTTGTATCCCTGACTCAATGAACTGTACTGTATTTTGTTAATGCTTCCCTCCCAATATCTCAAAACCAGAAAATGGACTGAAATTTCCTTTCAGGGTGTTTGTGTTATTTTGATGTGGCTGTGGAGTACTCGAATCGTAACCTTGTCAAAATCAAATGTCCATTAGCTTGGCAACATTGTATGCATTCATTGATTCCCCAGTGCCAGCTTCCTCTATGCAGAAAGGTTCAGAGTTCAGGAGCTTTAACAAGTTGAAGTAGTGATGTTTTCCAGTATAGATTGTGTCCGGATTTCCCAGTTTGACTAGTTCCTTCATATGCACAAGGCCCGAGAGCGACTTCCAAATTTGATGTTATTCGCATTGGTATGGCTGCAGCAATGTTATAACTGCAGTGTAATCTTATGAAGTCATTTGTCCTTTGCTAGAAAAGCTACATGCAGCCTTCGAAATTTGTCTTTTTTAGACTAGTCCAGAGGACCAGTGTAAACAGTATTTCACCAGTCCTCAGTTTGTAGCTAGTCCAACTTGAACGCGTTTCAGCTTCAATTTGTGAAAAATTGAAGCATTGAGAACTGGTTAAGAATCACCTCAAATGCCACTAGCCAATGGGGACTACCATCATTGGATTCTTACTGAGAACAATTTGATAGTCTCGGAAAAGCGTGAATTTCGAAGGCTGTACATTGATGTCATTATTTGATATATTGTTGTATATACTTGCTATTATGCGTACCATTTATAGCACTTTCATCTGAAATTACGTACACATTGTTTAGTTGGTTGATAAAACAGCATAATCATGAACAGTGTTTTGTATGTTTTCTTGCAATACTTTGTGTAGTGTGTCATACAGACCCTGAAACAGATATATCCGATACAGCCTGTGCAAGTCTATAATAGTTGGCAAGTCTAGATTACTGCAGTTTCAGCCGATTACTGTTCAGTGAAAATGAAGAGTCTCTGGACTGCTTCTTTTCATTGTATTGTATTAAGATAACTTTTTTTTCTGTGAAAGATATCATTTCAGAGACTAGATGTTAGTCTATACTTAAGGGAACCATATTGTAGAAGTAAGATGGAACTGTGTAGGGCTGTATCGATACATTTTGATTCGCTTGATACACGACACGATACGTAAAACACAATCTCATTTAAATCAGGCTATCGTACCACAAAGCGATCTTATCACACGACTATTAATTCGGTGTTGTGGGAGTTATGATCACCTTCGCGCTACGATCGTTTTGTGGAACAGGGCCTAGACCTTTAACACCGATACAATACCTCTGTGTGAAGTTCGGAGGACACCTTCATTGATATTGGGCATCAGGATTTACTGTGGTGGTGTCAGATATTAACACAGATAGATATCGTAAACCAATCTATGAGATCCAAGGGGCACGGTTGGCCCAGTCATCTAAGGCGTTGCAATTTGCTGTGCAGAGTTGCATCCCTTGGGCATGCCAGAAACCTATGATTGTGGGTTCGAATCCTGGTTTGCCCTGATTATGTTTCTAGGTTGTCAGCACCCTACCCGTGCTGGTGGGTTTCACCGAAGTGGTAAAAGTCTGAGGCTTGAATCACTTCCTACTTTCCTCCCACATAAAGCTGACACGCTGCAATATAACTGGAATACTGTTAAAAACAGCTTTAAACCCAACTCACTCACTCACTATGAGATCCAACCTCAACATTATTCAGAAATCTTGAGTCAATAATACTAGCAACGATTTTGAAGGTCTTGCATATACCATCTGAAAATATTATTTACAATTCATTTGCATGTCAAATTTATATGCTTACATGTGTATATATCATTTTGTATTGTTTCTCATACTTGTTCTCATGGGGCTTCCAGGATAGAAAGGTTCCCAGCAACCTATGCTTTCCTAAGGGGATACTAGAATGACCTGGTGGTGATTTGGTTTATTGTGTGTCCTCGTGTCCTGAATAGACGGTGATCATAATGATAATCCATGGTTTATCTGGTCCAGACTTGATTATTTAGTCCACCTCTTGTATACAGCTGGAATATTGATGAGTGTGACGTTATACAACAAACAGACCAATCTTTTACTTGTATCATACACCACAATGATGACGTCAAGCTATTGTTCTTGCAGTTGATTCTGAGCCAGGAATCCAATGGATATTCTGAATGTGCATTTTAGCAAATTAAATTAATGCAAATATGGGTCATTATACAAGTTATAGAGAAATGATATGTTAATATGGTCCAATGTGTACGTCCGAGAAATCACTCGAGTCTTTTGATCCTGGAAGAAAAATAAACTCGACCTTTCGGGGCTCATTGATTCTAAGAAGTGAATGGTGAGTAAGTAAGAAAACAAACAACTTTATAGATAACAACTTCTGGTTTAATGCATATAGCAA